CCAGCACTCGGGAGGCTGAGGCAGGAGGATTGTTGTGAGTTCAAGGCCAGCCTGGGCTACAAAGTGAGCTCAAGGCCAGCCTGAACTGCATAGAGAGACCCTGCCTCAAAAAGACAAAAAAAAGGACAAAAAAAAAAAGAAAAGAAAAGAAAAGAAAGAAAAGGAACTGGGGATAAACCTGGAAGAGGGAAGAAGAGGTCAAAATAAAAGAGATGTGGTTATGGAAGCAGAAGCGGAGAGATGTGTGGTTTGCTTTGGAGATAGGAGTGACTCACCAGCCAAAGAATGTGGCCATTTCTAGAAGCTGGAAAAGCAAGGAAATATATTCTCTCTTGGCCCTACCAATATGTCTGTTCTTACCCGTGACTCCCATGCCGGACTTCCAACCTCTACAACTGTAAGACACTGTATTCCTATTTTTTTATTTTTCTATTTTTTTGTGTGTTTCATTTTTGTTTTGCTTTTGAGACAAGGTCTCACTATGTAGTCCAGGCTGGCCTTGAACACTCAGCAAACCTCCTGCCTCAGCCTCCAACAACAGAAACAAAGACAGCACTCATCACTATGCATATGGCCCAGGCCACAGGGACATGGTGCATGAGCTGCTGTACTTCAGGTGTGGAATGGCCCTGAGAGGCCCATGTGTTAAGGTTTAATGCTACTGGGCAGGAGGAAGCTTGAAGAGTGGAGGCCACCGGGAAGCCTTTAGGTCATTGAAAGCCTGTGGGATAGAAGGACCCCAGGCCCTTGCTCCTCCTGTCCCTCGTTCCCTACCTGCAGAGGCAGAAGCTTTCTTGCACCTGCCTCTTTCTCCCAACACGATGCACTGCCTCACCACAGACCACAGAGCAATAGAGCGTACTGATCACAGACAGACCTTCTAAGCTGATGATCTCAGGTACCTGTTCTAGTGACAGAAAGCTGGTTGCCAGACTCCTGCAACACAGGTCCCACAGGGCAGACACACTGACCTGCATGTTGACCAGCTGGATGAGCTTGTCCAGGTTCTTGAACCACATGTTGGCATTCTCATATTGGAAGTCCGAACCCATGGTCATCACTGTGTGGTTGGTGCGGTAGTACTGGCCCTGTGGGATGGAGTCCTCAGACCAGCATGTCCTGGACCACCCAGGGCCAGCTGTGTCTGTATGTATGGGGTCAGGAATTCATGTGGGGATTGCCAAGGATGGTGCATACCTATAATCTCAGCACTCAGGAGGCTGAGGCAGGAGGATTGCCCTGAGTTCAAGGCCAGCCTGAATTCCATAGTGAATTCAAGGCCAGCCTAAACTACATAGTGAGATCCTCTCTCAGAAAAAAAGAAAAAAATAACAACAAAAAACATGTGGGGGCCATGCCACATCAGAGCGCAGGGTCACAAATAAAAATAGCCAGAAGTTTTCTGGGGCCCATACACAGATGAGGGGATCAAGACACCAAGCCATGCCGTCACAACCATGGTTTTTGTTATGTTTAGTTTTCGAAGTACTGGGGATGGAACTCAGGGCCTTCCCACTGAACTACATCCTCAGTTGTTTTTTATTTCTTATTCTGAGACAAGGTCTTGCTAACTTTCAATCCTCCTGCCTCAGCCTCCCAAAATAGTAGGATACAGGCATGCACCACCATGCTCAGCAACACGCACACTTCAAATGAAGGGCCATTAGTCTGAGAGGGGACACTGTGGTGGGGAACTGGGCAGTACCATTAAGCACACTTTCTCATATCCCCTGGAGGCACCCTCCAGGCTGTGGAAAGGCCTCGAAGTTCTGGATATCGAGATTACCTGGGCAGTGGCCAGCTGCAGAAAGTTGCTGACCAGCTCCTTGGCGTTGTACTCAGGGCTGTGGGGGTCGTCCACCACAGGCCGGTCAGCACACAGCATGTCCCAGCAGAACCCCTCTGGCGGGTTGTAATTGTTGGGGAGCACACCTGGGGGCCACATCAAGCTCAGAGGACGCCTCGTGCCCCAGACCTACCCTGGGGTCCAAGTCTACCCTGTCTTAGCCAGAATGGGCTTCAGAATTTTCGAGGCCTGGCACAAGAGACTAGTGCACAGCCCTGCTCACAAATGATCAAGAATTTAAAGATAGTGACAGTAGATTATCCGATCACCCCCTCACCGGTGAAGAGGTCAGCAGTAGGAGGCTTCAGGCTGGCGCTTGCCCTCCACACCTGCTCCATCTCCTGTCTCTTCTTCCGCACCAGTTTATCTTGATAATCGAGGCGCCCAAAGAAGAAGCCGTCGAAGCCCATCTGCAGGTGGGGCAAAGAGGCCCTCTCATCACTGTGCTCCCCAGCTTGGGAAGTCTGAGCTATGACCCTGTGGGACCCAAGTGTCATCTGGTCCATGATGGCACCATCAGTGGTCAGGGCACAGGCAGGAAGTGCAGCTGATAAAAGGGAGCCTCCAGTTTATGTCAGAGCTTGGGAAGGGTCAGAAGGCACCCAGCAAGAGGAGGGCAGGTGGAAAGCTGGAACTCACCTCCCCCTGCCCAGCTAAGTCAAAGTGAAAAGGAGACAGCCTGAGCGTGGGTCAGAACACAGATATTAAAGCTGATTTTAAAGCCAGATTCGGGGGATGGAAGAAGAGGGAGAAAAGGAGGGAAGTGAAATGTGATAAGTACATGTACCAGTCCCCTACAGTGAAGGTAATCATTATATACTGCACACATGTACTAACAAAAGTGGGAAAATCAATCAATCAATCAATCAATCAAATCAGGAACAAAAAAAAAAAAAATAAAGGCCGGGCATGGTGGCATATGTCTATAATCCCAGCACTGGGGAGGCTGAAGCAGGAGGATCACTGCAAGTTTGAGGCTAGCCTGGGCTATAAAATGAGTTCAAGGCCAGCCTGAACTGCATAGTGAGACCTGGTCTCAAAAAGACAAAAATAAGTAAATAAGTAAAAGCCAGCATGGTAGCAGGACCCTGTTTCTAAACAAATAAACCCCAGGAGACTGGGATGCAGCCGAGTGGTAAAGCACTTGCCTAATATGTACAGACCCTGGGTTCCATCCCCAGCACCAAAGAGAAACGAAGGGCCAGACCATGCACGGTGGCACACACCTTTAATCTCACCACTTGAAAGCCTGAGGCAGGAAGAATGCCTCAAGTTCAAGGCCAGCTTGGACTACACAGCAAGACCCTATCTCAAAAAACAAAAAATAGGAAACAAGGTAGCTGTCCATGTGCAGCCCAGCTGGAGGAGGAGCCATATTCTAGCAAAGGGAAGGACAGGGAGGACCCAACTGCAGAAGGAGGCTTAGGCCAGAGCAAAAGGCCTCAAGGACCAGCGGGCACTGTGTGGTCCCAGTGAGACTGCAGGGAAAGGGAAGGCCTTGAGTGGCCTAGGAAGGAGTCAGTGTGAGCAAAAGGGCGGGTCTGCGAGAGATCAGGGTAGCACCTGGGCAAACAGCGAGGCCTGCTCCCTGGAGTGGCCGAAGGGGTCGATGTGCCAGGCCACACGAGGGCGCCCGTCACTGCCAAATGTGTCCTCCAGGAAGCGAAGCCCAAGTGTCATCTGGTCCACAATGGCACCATAGTGGGTAGCTGCCTCGTCATTCATCACCCAGCCACCATTGGCAAACTCCAGGCGCCCTGGACAAGGAGGGGCAAAGCAGGGTTCTTAGGAGTAGGGTTGGGTATGAGATACAACAGAGGAGAAGGCCTGGTAACTCAAGCCAGGAAAGAGAAGGGGGGTACAGGTTTGGCACACATGCCCGATGCAGGGCAGAGAGCTGCTGCAGGTGGAGTCTGGCAGGAGGCACGGTTCTCCAGATTCCAAGCCACTGGGGCCACAAGCACACACATCCTCTCTGCATGACGAGATAAAATCTCCCAAGCCCCCACGCAACAACACAAGCTGGGCTGGGCTTCCGCTTTTCACTTCCTTGCGGCAGGCTCACCCTGGCGCACCAGGTTTCTCACGATTTCCTGCGTTGCGTTTGTCTGCTGGTGCCACCAACGGGAAAAGAAGGCCATCTCCACGTAGACGAAGCGGCGGGTGGGCTCTGCCAACAAGGCACAGATGACGGAGTCTAGGATGTACTGCACCCCAGCGTGTTGGACATCATTCTTGACTGTGGACACGGGGACACGGGCAGTCAGGAGCCAGCGGGAGCCCAAGCTATGCCCTGCCCCCACCCTAAGGTCCAGGGCCCAGGACAGAGGGGAGATACACAGACATAGGTGCGATCAGGTGCCAGTCCCCACCCTCTACTCACTGCCATAATAGTACTGGTCCACCGTCTTGAGCCAGCCCACATCGTCATGTGTGTGAGCCACCAGGTGCACATTCAGCATGTCTGGCTGCACCTCGGGGCATGTCTGCACAGGGACCCAAACGCACACATACACACAGACATTGTTGGTAACCTAACTCCAGTGCCCTGCAGCTAAAAGGCAGGCCCAGAGGTGGACACGGAGTGGGAGAAGCACAGGATGACCCTTGATCTTGGAGTGACTCAGAGTCACAGCAGCTATGACCCCAGCTATGTGCGGAGGATGCCTTGGCCTCCGAGGCAGGTGACACACATAGCTGTGCTCCCAGTGTATAGGGTCCTGCCAGTGGCTCTCACTCGCACCCTGGGGAGACAATCAGAATCAGAGCTGTTGTCTAGTGAGCATCTGCAGATGGCAGACAGCCACGCTGTGGCACGAGGCACTTTACGCCTAGTTATTCCAGGGCACTGAAGTCAAGAAGTAGAGGTGACTTGAGCAAGGAGACAGGTAGGAGCTGGAGAATGAGGCTGAACCCGAGGTGAGCCGACTCCAGCACCCCACTCAGCTGGTTGCTCACCCACTCCCTGCCCCTAAGGTCCCACAGTGAAGTGAAGGCATCCAAGCCTGCGACCCGGTGACACGGGGTGGGGAGTGGGGAATCTGCTGCAGCCCCATCCCCAGAGGGGCAGCCAGACCCCTCAGTGACCCAGAGCACGCCCTGGGCCACCCTGTCGGGTCAGCCTGCAGATCAGAGCCACCCGCGCCTATGCCCGGCCTCAGGTCCCCTCCGACTCCAAAGCGCTCCGGCCCGCGGGCCCGGCTCACCTCGTACCCAGCAGCCCGAGCGCCAGGCGTCGCCAGCAACAACAAAAACAGAAACAAGACAGGCGGGAGCCGCAGACGCAAGAGGCAGGAATTCATCCGGCACCCCACCGGGCTCCAGCGGCCGCCAGCGCCAACCCCGAAAGGTAGCGCACGAGCACCCATGGTTCGGCTGCCACCGCCGCTTTCAGGGTGTTCCCGGGCCCGGATAAGGCAGGACGGACGCCCCGCCCCTAGAACCTGACCTGGCCAATCGGCGCTAGAGGGGCGGGGGTAGGGTGGAGCCTGGCGCGTGACCGGATTTAAACTGTATCTCCGGTCAACGCTGTGGCTCCAGGACTTGGGAACAGACCACGTAGTCCGGTCCTGGCGGGAGGCCCCTTTAGCATATCGCCGTGGGGCTCTGGAGTACACTTGGCCAAGTGGAAAGAAAGGGCCCAACTTTTTCTACAGACATCTTCCTAGGAGATAAAGCATGTAGAATGTGTGCTTGGGGCCTAAGCTGTCCCGTGGAACTTCAGGAGTGGCGTGCTTCAGAGGCACCTAGTGTGTAGCCGGGCGTGATTACTCCTGTAATCCCAGCACTCGGGAGGCTGAGGCAGGAGGATCGTTGAGAGTTCGAGACCAGCCTGGGCTACAAAGTGAGTTCAAGGCCAGCCTGAACTGCATAGTGAGACCCTGTCTCAAAAAGCCAAAAAAGGGCTGGGGATATAGCTCAGTGGCATAAGCGCCTGCCTGGCAAGCGCAAGATTGTGAGTTCGATCCCCGGTACAGCCCCCACACACACAAAAAAGAGATACCTAGTGTGGCTAGAAGCAGGGATCCTATTGTCCTGCGGGCATTGGGACATTGGATACACAAACTGCCCTTGGGAACCAGGTGTGGTGGTGCACGCCTGTAATCACAGCACCTGGGAGGCTGAAGCAGGAAGATTGCAGCGAGTTCAAGGCCAATTTGGCCTACACAGCAAGTTCAAAGCTAGCCTAAACTACTTATCAAGACACTGTCTCAAAAAACAAACAGCCTGCCAGGGATATAGCTCAGTGGCACAGCACCTGCCTGGCAAGCACAAGGTCTTGAGTTTGATTCCTGGTACCAAAAAAAAAAAACCAGCCAGGCATGGTGGTGCATGCCTGTAATCCCAGTACTCAGGAGGCTGAGGCAGGAGGATCCTTGGGAGTTCAAGACCAGCCTGGGCTACAAAGTGAGCTCAAGGCCAGCCTGAACTGCATAGCAAGACCCTGTCTCTAAAAGACCAAAAAATAAAACAAACAAAAATTGCCCTTGGAGTGCTGTACATAATAGGTATCCGGCCTGGCTGGGATGGATCCCTGGATCTTCCAATAATGTCGGAGAGCTTGATAGATGGAGAGGAACCTGACTCTTTCACACCCTTCCCAATTCCTACCACTCAATTCAGTTTGCAGGCATTGTTCCTGTAATAAGAAAACCAAGCTTTGCTGGGCATGGTGGTGCACACCTGTAATCCTAGCCTGTAATCCTAGCACTCAGTAGGTTGAGCCAGAAGGATCGTTTCGAGTTCGAGACCAGCCTGGGCTACAAAGT